CTTTTGTGTCCAGGCAGTAGCTTGGCATCAATCTATACTCACACAGTATACTCATCCCATCTGGTGATTGCCAGCAGGCACATGTTGCTAGAATTGGTACAGCTAACCAGATGGAACTGTTACACCGAAATATCCAGGGCTGAATGCAACTCATCATTAATATCACCCCAGGATGTTACATATTTATGGTTTTCGCACCCTACATGGTTGATAAAAAGTGAAGACATACTCATTTTTCGTATGGAGCTGGATAATTATCAAACACACATATCCATGCCTTTTTTCCTGATCTGTTGTTATATAAATATTGCTATTAATCCGAATGAAATAAGGGATAAAAAAATGATAAATTGACCATTCCTTTTATCTGAAAATGTGGATACAAGCTACCGCTATCTGCTTCTGTACTAGCTTGTAATCGCTTGCTGCTTGCCACTTAGCCTGACTGAAGCCATCACAGGCTTCTACAAAGTAAAAACAAAACAAACAAAACAGCCCAGCGAGGAAACCAGTAAGCACTACCTGACCTGATAAGGTAGTGCAAAGTCCCTGGGACCTAGCCAACCAATCAATAAATCAATACACGGCCAGCGTGATCAGCGCCTGAACAGCTTGTGTGGCGTGTGTGAGGTCCAGGTAGGTCCCAGGTATCAGTTGTAACCAAAAACATGAGTTACTCAACAACCAGAAGTATAAAACCTGTGCTAAAACCTTGCCAAAGGTCCTTGTCTGAAGAGACCACTGAGCTGGTGCTCTGGGACCTAGACCCTAGCTTAAGCTGGCTTAAACAAACCTCCATTTGTTGCTTACGTTGGTGTGAGCTTGTTACTCTGACATTCTGTTCTGGGATACAGAATTCTTGGACACAACATTTGGGGGCTCGTCCGGGATTCCCATATTTCAGGACAGAATTAGAGTAAAGGAGGTTAGAATCCTCGATAGGACCGACAAGGGACCTAGGCGGATGCGCTGGTGAGTCGTTGGTCAGGGTCAGGAGGAGATGTCCACTGATCCTGGAGAGACTCCCTGTAGGCAACCTTGTAGCCCAGGGCTTGGTCGAGAGGGAGTCGAGGAAGAGGTCCGGACTAGGTTGGTGTTTGTGTGTCTTGTCGTCTCATCTTATTTGGTTTGGTTGATGTTGATGTTCTGTGCGTATTCCTCCCCTTAATGGCTCAAGATCTTTCTTTAGGACAACCAGAACAGGACCAGAGCGAGACCAGTGCGAGTGTCCTCTTTGTAAAATGAAGAAGCAGTGGAAGTCAGGTGACAAGAAGTCACCCGTGACAGTGCCCAAGCAGACAACTTAACTGTCCCTAATTTCTTTCTTGCAGGCATGGGACGGCCCCTCTCTACACCTCTGTCTATCCTAGCGAGCCATTTTAAGGATGTGAGGGCCAGAGCACACGACCTCTCCTTAGAGGTCAAGAAAGGAAAATTTGTCACTCTGTGTGAGGCAGAGTGGCCCGCCTTTGGGCTTGGATGGCCGCAGGAAGGATCTTTCCATGCCTCCCTCATTGAGGTGAAGGAGGTAGTTTTGGGCCATCACGGCCATCTGGACCAAATTCCTTACATGATAGTGTGGCAGGACTGGGTCCAGGATCCGCCACCCTGGCTAAAAACGATCCTGCCCGCCTCCAAAGAAAAAGCAAAGATTTTTGTCGCTAGAAATGCTAAGGAGAAGAATAAAGGTGGGCAGAAACCCTCCATGGGCTCACCACGGGTTCTGCCTGACTCCAATTTGTATCCAGACCTTACAGGTTTAGAATGGAATAAGCCCCCACCATATAACCCTGGGGCAGCCCCTGCTGCTCCTGCAGCTCAGGAGAGCACAGGACCGCCGGCAGAGGGACCAGCCTACGGGACCAGGCACTGGACTGGCCAGACCCCAGATCCAGAACCCGTAAAGCCACTCCCTCTGCAAGGACCTCCTGGGGTGGATGGGGGGCAGGCATGCCAGTATTGGCCCTTCTCCACTAGTGACCTCTACAACTGGAAGTCCCAGAATGCCAATTTTCCCAAAAACCCCGAGGGCCCTGATTAACCTTTTAGATTCTGTCCTTTACACGCACCAGCCCACATGGGACGACTGTCAACAGTTGCTTAAGGTCCTCATCACAACTGAAGAGAGAGAATCCAAGGAGAGGCACAGAAGCTGGTTCCGGGAGAGGACAGGAGGACCACCATCAACCCCCGAGTCATTGACCAGACCTTTCGCTTAGAGCCACCTTCTTGGGATTACAACGAGGCTGAAAGTAGGGAGCGTCTCCGGGTCTACCGCCAGACTCTGATGGCCGGTCTCCGAGCAGCGGCGTGAAAGCCAACCAATTTGGCCAAGGTAGGGGATGTTCAGCAGGGGCCCAAAGAGAGTCCGGCAGGCTACTTAGAGAAAATTATGGAGGCCTTTCGACAATACATACCTATAGATCCCTCTGTAGAGGAAAGCAAGGCAGCTGCTATGATGGCTTTTGTCAACCAGGCAGCCCCAGATATCAGGCGTAAAGTGCAAACGATAGACAGGATAAGTAAAAAAAAAAAACCCTACAGGACCTGCTAAAAGTGGCAAAAAGAGTCTACAATAACCAAGAGATGCCTGAGGAGAGGCTAAAAAGGATAAGGTTAGAGGACAAAAAAATTCCAGGCAAGAGAGGCCTGTAAAGCAAACAAAGAGATGGCCAAGATCTTGCTGGTAGCTATGGGGGGGGAGGACAGCTAGGGGCTAGAGGCCGAGAGCAACCCTGGAGAGAGAGGCTAGGCAGGGATCAGTGAGCCAACTGCAAGGAGCATGGACACTGGGGTCGAGACTGCCCCAAAAAGAAGGGGGGACGTAGACCGGAGTCCCCTGAAAAGGTTATGGTGGTGGGGCCAGTAGAAGATAAATAAGGGGATAGCCAAGAGAGTGCTCACCCAGATCCTGGGACCTTGGAGGCAACCAGTGGCATATCTGTCCAAAAAGCTAGACCTGGTAGCAGCAGGATGGCCGGCATGCCTGCAAATCATCGTAGCCACTGCCTTACTGGTCAAAGACGCCGACAAGCTCACCCTAGGTCAGCATTTGCAAATTACCACCCCTCATGCCATAAAAGGGATCTTAAAGCAGCCTCCAGGACGGTGGATTACAAACCCAAGGCTGATTCACCACGAGGGTCTCCTGTTAGACGATCCTCGCGTTGAGTTCCGGACTCTTGCAGTCCTACACCCCACCACGCTCCTGCCAGACCCTGAGCCCACAACGTCCGAGCACAGCTGCCTTTAAATCCTTGCTGAGACTCAGATGGCCCGGAGAGACCTACAAGATCGCCCCCTTACGAACAGCGACCTAATCTGGTTCGTGGAAGGGAGCAGTTTCGTCCAGGACGGTCACAGGTACGCAGGGGTGGCCATAGTAGATAAACAGGGCAAGCTTATCTGGGCAATGTGTCTTCCGCAGGGGACATTGGCTCAAAAGGCAGAACTAATTGCATTGACAAAAGCCCTCCGCCGGGCCCACGGAAAGAGGATGACAGTGTACACTGAGAGCCGCTACACCTTTAGAAAAAAAAAAAAGTTTCATTACAGCAGAGGGCAAGGACATCAAGCATAAGCCTGAAATCCTTCAGTTGCTGGAAGCCATTTTACTACCAAAGGGAGTAGCCGTGGTTCACAAGCCAGGTCAGCAAAAGGAAGATTCCTTAGAGGCTCAAGGTAATCGGGCTGCGGATGCCGGGGCAAAAAGGGCTGCAAAAGGGACGGCACAGACAGATATTCTGCACTCGAGCCTGCCACCTCTGGAGATGGGGGAACTGCCCACTCAGCCAGACTATTCAGACATGGACATAAAATGGGCTGAAAAAAAAGCTGCAGGCGACACAAGATAAGAGTGGTCAGTTACAAGATAAGAAACACCGCCTAGTGGTTCCCGAGGCCCTGGGCAGACACCTGCTAAAACACCTGCATCAGACAACGCACCTCAGCAAAAAAAAAAAAAAAAAAAAAAAAAACAAAGATGCTGCAGCTATGAGATACTGCCCAACTCAGATTTAAATCGCAAGGACAGGTGGCAGAAAACATCATCAGGAGTTGTGCCTGCCAGGCCATGCAGCCAGGGAGGGTCAGTGGGACCCATGCAGGTACCAGGGAAAGGAGCAGGCAACCAGGGATGTTCTGAAAAATTGACTTCACAGAAGTAAAACCAGGAAAATATGGGTACAAATATTTGTTAGTCATGGTAGATACCTTTTCAGGGTGGGTAAAAGCCTTCCCTACCAAGGGGAAAACTGCTTTAATAGTGGCCAAAAAGATATTAAAATAAATAGTTCCCAGATACAGGCTGCCAAAAGCCATAGGGTCAGATAACAGGCCAGCCTTCACTAGTTTAGTTAGTCAAGGGTTAGCTCAGGCACTGGGGACAGATTGGAAACTGCATTGTGCTTATAATCCCCAGAGCTCTGGGCAGGTAAAAAGAATAAACAAAACCTTAAAGGAGACTTTAACTAAATTGGTCCTAGAAACTGAGTGACCCTCCTTCCCTTCACCCTGTTAAGAGCCCGGATCACTCCCACTTAGGCTTAACCCCTTTTGAGATTGCGTATGGCACCCCGTCTCCTGTCATCCCAAAGATAAGCTCAGAGACCCTGCCTGAACACCCTCGAGAGGTATTGCAGGCTGTGCAGGCTCTGCAACGGGTCCACAGCCAGGTATGGCCGGCACTCCGAGCCCTTCACCAAACGGGAAAAGCAAACGACAAGTCTCCCTACCACCACTACCAATCAGGGGATTGGGTATGGGTAAAAAGGCATAACAGCAAGACCCTCAAGCCCAGGTAAAAGGGACCTTTTCAAATTATTCTTGTTACCCCCACTGCTCTTAAGGTTAATGGGGTAGCAACCTGGATCCACCACTCCCACGTGAGACTGGCTGGTGAGGACAAGCAAAAGCAACAGCGGAACGAGTAGAGGGCGACAGCAGACCCCAAAAATCCACTAAAGACCAGGCTGACCCACGTGACAGCTGCGGAGTATATGGGACTATTGACTCAGATTCTAGTAAAACTGCTGATCGCCCTTCTAGGACTCGGATTGGGACTAGTTACCCCAAAGACTTAGACTAAGCTGCAAAGATGGGGTTTGGTATTGTTCTATGTTTCATACACAAGTGCATTATAGATATTCTGCTCCTGGACCAAAGTTTTGCAGTTATAATTAATAATAAAAACCCACATCTGCCATATAAACTCACATAAAAAATAACTAACTTAAAAACCCATGAGGTTTATAATTGTATCTCAGGGACAGAGCCACTAAACACATGGTGGCCAGACTTATGTTTTAACCTAAAATAAATAAGGCCCGTGAGAGATGAGCAAACCTCTACCTCGCATGTAATAGCCAAATGATATCTTGGTCATTTGGCTAGCCTGGCTGCATGGGACCAGAGGGTTTCCATGAGCCCATATGGGTTTTATGCATGTCCAGGGTTTAAAAAAAAAAATGAGACGCACATGTAAAAAAAAAAAATCGAGTCCCTCTACTGTGCAGCCTGAAAGTGTGTGACCACAAATGACAGAGAGTAAAAATGGCAGGTACAACCTTTTTTTCATTAAAATGTCCTATGTCCAACCTTGCACTAAAAGCAGATATGCCAGAGACTGTAACCTGATACGTGTAAGATTTACAGAAAAAAAAAAAAAAAGATAAAAGGTAGATGTCAGGGCTGTCTTAAAAAAATATGCCTCTATCAAAGGCCATATTTCTGCTCCATAATACAAATCAAACTAAAAGTGGCTCGCATCTAAAAAGTCCTTGACTTCACTATCCAAAGTAGTACTACAAAACCAGAGAGAACTAGACCTTAGAGGGCTGTGTGCAGCCCTGGGGGGGGGGGAAATGTTGTTTTCATGCAGACCATACAAGAGTAGTCAAAAAAATCCATGGTTAAAGTTAGAGAGGGATTGACAAAGCAAAAACGAGAGAGAGAGCAGAACAAAAGATGGTTTGAGTCATGGTTTAATAGCTCCCCTTGGCTGACTACTCTGCACTCCACTCTACTAGGACCCCTAGTTGTGCTTATACTCATTTTAACATTTGGACCTTGCATTCTAAATAGATTAATTGCTTTTGTCTAAGAGCGAGCCAATACCGTACAGCTGATGGTGTTGAGACAACAACACCAGAGGCTAAATAGAGACTGCCTGGAGATGAGTGTTATGTTAGATGCAACTTAGGAGCAAGAGTGCTCGTAGGGACAGAAAGAAGGGAGGAATGTGGGATACAAGCTAACCGCTATCTTGGCTTCTGTACCTTAGCTTTTGTAATTCGCTTGCTTGCTTGCCACTTAGCCTGACTAAAGACATGACAGGCTTCTACAAAGTAAAAACAACAACAACAACAAAAAAAAACAAACAAGGCCCCAGGGAGGAAACTGGTAAGGCACTACCTGATAAGGTAGTGCAAAGTCCCTGGGACCTAGCCAACCAATCAATAAATCAATACACGGCCAGCGTGATCAGCGCCTGAACAACAGCTTGTGTGGGTGTGTGGGGTCCAGGTAGGTCCAGGTATCAGTTGTAACCAAAAACATGAGTCTCCAACAACCAGAAGATAAAACCTCTGCTAAACCTTGCCAAAGGTCCTTGTCTGAAGAGACCACTGAGCTGGTGCTCTGGACCTGGACCCTAGCTCGAGCTGGCTTAAACAAACCTCCATTTGTTGCTTACGTTGGTGTGAGCTTGTTACTCTGACATTCTGCTCTGGATACAGACATTCTTGGACACTACAAAAAATAATCTTAATACACTAAATAAATAAAATCTTTAAATCTTATCCATTTTTTAGATCTATTCCATTCTTAAATCTTAAAAAGCAGGAGTGGAGGAATCTTTAGTGGTGACCCTTTTCTGGTAAAACAATACACACTATCTTAAAAAACTAAATCAATCTGAAAACAATAGTTAAAAAAACAAAACTCTAAATGTAATTCAAAGAAAGCTGCGTTTGTGAGGTTAAAAATAGATGACGAGGCATTGAGTGTTACTGAAGTAGCGACATCCGTGTTACAGTCACGGTGGGCATGATCTTTCCAGAGGGGGGCTCTCTGGAGGACTTAGACACAATCTGACCACTAAAGGTGGAAGATCCTCAGGTGTAAGTCTCACAGAGAAGGGACTTACATTTTCTCCTGTGTGACTTAGAGCAATTACAAGAGATTTTTGCATTTCAGTTGCTTTATCTGAACAATTGGGCTTCCTACTCCTTGTTGTGAGATTAAAAGAGTAAAACTCTTAGGATGAGTGTCTGGCACAATGTAACTGTTAACAATTTTATTTATACCTCACACCTAAGGAAAGAAGGAAATAGATGCTTAAAACAAAAGCAAGGGGGGGGGTGGGTGAGGGCTGGAGTGGTGAGGGGGTGGAAGTGTGCTCTTTGAATTAGCTAAAGCGATGCCTAAATCAAACAGCCAAGGGCCTCTCCCTTCTGGCTCTTAAATTGTATTTCAATTAAGGAAATTCCCCAGGATTGCATCAGGCTGATTAAGATTACTGGCCGTGGGGCTAAGCACTTTGCTGCACGATGTCTCATTACTATATTAGTCTGCCGTTCCAACATGAGTCACACAGATGGAGCTCAGCTACTTTGCAGATGGAATAAAGTGTTATTCAAGGTACAGGAACTGCCCTTATCTCCTTTTTTTCTCACCTTTAACCCGAAAATCATGTGATTAATTTTCCTAAGCATTAGCTCTACATGTTAAAATCTCTTT